AAAATACTGGAGCACCACAACAAGATAAAGGTAAATAATCCAACAGAAAAATGGGCACAGGATATGACCAGACACTTCACCAAAGAAGACATTCAGATGACTAAATATGAAGAAATGTTCAAAATCCGTAGCTCTAAGAGAGATGAAAATGAACACAACTAGGAGATATCATCTCACCCCAGTCAGAATAGTAAAATTTTACAGAACAGCAAGCAACAAATGCTGGCGAGGTTGTGGAGAAACTGGAACTCTTATTCACTGTTGGAGTGTAAAATGGTGCAACCATTGTGGAAGGCAGTATGGCGCTTTCTCAAAAAGTTGCAAATACAGATACATTTGACCCAGCAATTCCACTACTGGGAATATCCCCCAAAGAGACCATAACTGACATCCAAGCAGATACATGCACACCCGTGTTTATCGCAGCTTTGTTCACAAAAGCAAGGAGTTGGAAACAACCTAAGTGCCCATCAACAAATGAATGGATAGAGAAGCTGTGGTATATTCACACAATGGAATACTACACTGCATTGAAAAACAAGAAACTCATGCAGTATTATTTAAAATGGGTCACCCTGGAGGACATTATACTGAGTGAAGTATCTCAGTCACAAAAGGACAAATATTGCATGGTGCCACTGTTGTAAAGCCGGACTGACCTTGGGGTTGGAAGGAGACTGAGAAGGATGGGTTCGATAATGTATACTGCATTGAAACAGATGAGGGAGAAAACTGTTTAAAAGGGATATGTAATTAGGTATTTTTGTCTTGACAGGAGTCCAGAATGAAGGCTGCATAGTGGAGTGGACCTGGGGGGAGGGATTGTAAAACAATGAAAGATTTTTTCTTTGACTTTTCCAAGAGGGTACTGCACTAGGGGGAATGGTTGTGAGGGGAGAAAAGTGCAACAATGAATGAAAGGAAATCCAAAGTCTCTGTAAATTTTCATTGTAACTAGTAATACACTTTTTAAAAAACAAACCAATCACAACAACAACATGAAAAAAAAGCAAAGATTTTGAAACTGAAGACCCTGGATGAGATGGACTGTTTGTGGCAATGGGGTCAGGTGTGTCGGTGATGTTGGCTCAGGATAGGGCAGGGTTAAGGGCTGTTTATTATAGGGTCACTATGAGTCATATCATTAATATCACATGCAAGCAAGATTCTGCTGAAAATTAACCGAAAACAATTGGAACAACACATCAACAGAGAACTTCCAGATGTGCAGGCTGGATTTAAAAGAGGTTGTGGTACCAGAGGAATGTCTATCTGTGTCTCATTGATTATACAAAGGCATCTGAGTGTGTGGACCACAATAAACTATGGCTAACCTTGAGGAAAATAGGAACCCCAGAGCACTTGATTGTGCTTATATGAAATCTATACTTGGACCAAGAGACAGTCAGAATAGAGCAAGGAAACACTTCATGGTTTAAAATAGGAAGTGTGTACAGTAGGGATGTGTCCTATCTCCATATGTGGAACAGATCACCCAGGAGGCTGGGCATTCCTAAAGAGGAATGTGGCATCAGGATTAGAGGAAGATTCATCAACAACCTGCGTTATGCAGATGACACAACCTTGCTTGCTGAAACTGAGGAGGACCTGAAGCACTTACTACAGAGGATTAAGGACTGCAGCCTTCAACATAGATTGAAGTTCAACAAAAGAAAACAAAGATTCTCAACACTGAGCTGACTGGCAGCATCATGATGGTTGATGAAGATTATTAACGACTTCAGTTTGCTTGGCTTCACAGTCAACACTCTTGGTACCAGCAGCCAGGTATTCAAAAAATGAAATGCACTGGGAAAGTCTGCCATCATGGACATCTCCAGAGTATTGAATGTCATCAGTCTGGAGACTAAGGTATGCCTGATTCAGGCCATGGTCTTTGCAATTACTTTCTATGTATCAGAGAGCTAGACAATGACTAGGGATAATAGAAGGAGAATTGATACCTTTGAGCTGTGGTACTGTAGAACAGTACTGAATATACCATGGACTGCTAAGAGAACAAACAGGTTTGTCCGAGAGAGGGTGAAACCAGGCTGCTCCTGGAGGAAAGGACTCTGAAGCTTCATCTGACATACGTTGGACATGTTGCAAGGAGGGACCAGTCCTTAGAGAGGGACATTATGCTTGGGAGGGTGGAGGAATAGCACAGGAGGGTAAGACCCTCAATGAGATGGATTGACTTAGTGACTGGGGTAATGATGGTAGGTGTGGAGATAGTAATGTTGGCTCAGGATAAAGCAAGGTTCAGAGCTGTTATACATGGGGTTGCTAAGAGTAGCGAACTTGATGGCACATGCCATGAGTCATAGCTGAATTGATGGCAGGTTAACAACAGTGACAACCCACCCATGTGATGACAGTAACAAAGTCAGTGACTAGGATAGTCAATCCTTTAGGTTTCCATTCAAACTCCTACACAATGTTGGCACCACATACAATGATTTACAGCCTTGGAACCCTTTCTTCTCTGTCCAACAGGGTCATCATGAGTTGCAATTGACTACTGGCAATGAGTATTCATATACTGAGCTAGGTTTCATTTTTGGTTAGGTATCACAGGATGCTTTGACCATCTCCATAAGGTGCAGGTAGAAATGTTTTCCTCAAGTCATTGCGAGGTTAATACTTTCTTACAAGGTGAATCTCACCCAGAGCGACCCTATAGGATAGAGTAAACCACTTCACAAGGTTCTGGCCGCAAATCCCTATGTAAGTAGGTTGCCTGGTGGAATCCAATCGTTGCGTGAGCAGCCCAATAGGTTATGCACTATGCATCAAGGTTCCTATTGCTATTAATAACCACCCACTGGCATCGTTCTGACCCACAGCAAACCTCGGCTGGGTGGGTGAAGTTGTAAATCGTAAAGACATGCACCCATCTTTCTTTCATGGAGCAGCTGGTGGGTTCTGACCACTGTCTTTATAGTTAGCAGCACAACACAGAACACAAGGCTGCTGAGCTCCTCTTGTGTTAACAGTATGCTTAAATGACAAGTTTTCTTCCAAATCTGATTCCATGGTGTCTGCAGCAAATCCAGGATTTCTACTGTTGTCAGTATTAAGGTAAAATGAATAGAAATTGTTTGGTTGAATAATTTATTAAATGGCTTTCAGATTTTTTTAAAGTGATAATCTAATGCGAAGATAATAGCACAATTTTTTCATGAGGTTATGTAGATGTAAGGCTTTTGAAAGTTAGGCCATGTAATTAATGACTGTATTTTAATGATTTTTTAAATTATGGTAAACTTTCATGTTCATGATTTTCAAAGTATAAACTAAATTGTTATACCATTCATATAGTAGATATAACATTACCATGTCAAATGTCTACACAAAATGAAGAGCCTAAGAGAAATATTATTGGAAAAAAAGGTAATAAATGTCACTTTTATTCACCATCCAGGCACTGATAATTCTGAAGAATATTTCCAAGCAGATAACAGACACTAATGAGGACTTACAATGATAAAAATTACTAAGGGGAAAAAAAAATAGTCATCTACACCTGTCTACATACATATCACACAATGTGTTCTAGTCAGCTGACACAGCATTGGGGAAAAAGAAAAAAGACCAGCATATTTAAAATATATCAAACAGTGTGCCACATTACACATGGGATATTATAGTTAACAGTAATAGTATATGTTTATATTAGCTTGATATTAAACTCATATATTTTTCAGTGGAGTACAATGTTCAAAATTCTACATAAAAATGTTCAGAATAGACAAATCAAAGAGAAAGCAAGCCTGGGATACTTTGTGCCAAGGGTAAGGAGTAGAGTTTGGAAAACATGTGGACCACAGCGACTGAATACTAAGTTTCTCTTTAGGGTCATGAATATGTTCTGAAATTGGTAGTATGTTGCACATTTGCTGACACAATAAAAACCATTGAAAGGTACATTTTAAATGACTGGACTGTCTGGTATTTGAATAATATCTCAATAAATGTTATATACATTAAAAAACCTATATAAATAGGCTTTCTCTAGTTCTCTTTTAATTTTAGGGAATAAAACGTTTATTTTTTTTTTAAAAACCCACTCATGTAAAGAACAAAGAAAATGACAACAGAAACACTGCTTCACAAATTTAAAAAAAAATTCCATTATCTAACGTTTAAAACAAGGAATGAGTAAAACTAAGTTTAAGTGAAAAAATTTTAATACTGTCAGATAAAAACATGATGGTGATAGCTTTGCACAAGCTCAGCATACACATAATGCTAAGGCCAAAACATTACTAGGAAAAGAAGTAGTCAGATTTGTAATTTATTAACAAACAATATAAGAGCTGATACATATTTCAAATGGTCATGTTGACAAAGTTTTCAGAGATTACTAGTTTGAATATACCTCTTTCATGTGTCTTAAGTGGGAGGAATAATCTTTAAATTCAAGGTCAACACGGATATTATAACTTTCAGTGCAAGTGATCTGGAAATTTATTAGAAATATATCTTTTTCTAGTTAAGAATTCTTTTTAGGGTTTGATTTTATTTACTAGTAAGGACTAAAGAGGCACAATCCTTTTTAAACAGGGTAAAAATTAAATAAATTAATGATAGGTTCTTAAAAGACATGATATATTTAATACGTTTTATGATAATTTAGATACTCCAAAAATCTGTTTATGAAGTTTTGTATGCCTTGATACATTCTAGGTTTGCTCTTAAAATGGAATAAATGTGGAATTTAATGAAACATATGAAAACAAGCAAAATGCTATGAGACTAAGCTGCTCCACCAGGGTGCCCATCTGACTTATAATTTACACTATTCCTCAAATTCCTGATTGAGCAAAACCAGACCAAGCTACATATGTGACGCTGTAGGAAAACAATCTCCTCCTTCACTAAGAAGGCAATTCAGTTCCCCATTCGGTCACCATCACAGTTACAAACAGGAAACATTTAATGTACGAGTTCAGATTTCACTAAATGAGGACCATTTTCAAGTTTTGGCCACGTGGCCAGCTATGTAGTGTGTTCTATTCAAGTAAGGAAATCCATAAACATTTCTTTTACAGGGAACTTATTTTACTTAAAACTTTCTTTAAAAAACCCAACACAACTCCAAGCCAAAACTTTATAACCAAAATCTCGCTACACAAAGCACTGGTGGTCACAATTTTTAGTCTGATGAGTTTTGAAGTCTGCTCAGCCTTCATGTTTCTAGGGTCTCTTCATTTGCTCCACAGGTATCAACGACACAAATTAAACAGCTCGTTACTGGAAAAGCACGCACTTTGGAGTTTGCGAACCATTTGTCTGTTTCAGTGTTATATTCCAGGATGTGTCCTAAACGACCCACACCTTGAAAACCAGCCAAGACATAAACTATAGAGCCGACTGCTGCGCATTTCACGGTGACACCTTTCCATGGCATTGGTGAGACCATCTTCCATTCATTTAGTTTAATATCATAATACTCCACATTGTCCAGACCACCTTCAAAAGAATAACACAGCATGAGCAACAAAGAAAAGGATAAAGACAACTCAAAAAGCTTGTCATTATGCTAAGTGAACTAATTCAGGCCTATAAGCATAAATATTGTATAAGACCATTATTACAAAACAACTATGAGGATCCAAGGAGGGGGAGCAGACAGCTGAGGATTGGGGTGGGTGCCAGACCTATAATCATAGGGTCACACAATCTGACGGGTGGAAAGAGGTGGGAGAGATTTGGTGTGAAAAACAATGTATATAAACCAGTATAAAATAATTAAAAAAAACCCACACAAACAAACAAACAAACAAACAAACAAACAAACAAACTCAAAACAACCACAAAAATCCCAATCTTATAAAGGAATATATTTTGTACTTTATAGAAAAGTTGTAGTAATTTTACAACAAATATCTATATCCTCACCACTATTAGTATTTTATTATTCTTCAATATAACGGAAGCTTAATGTTTTTGTTTAGAATCGTCAATACTGTTTATTTTACAAAATGAAAAATATTCAACCATAAAATCATAAAAGTGACTGGCTGGTGGATTTTTTTTATTATAATTATTCACATTTCTTTCTTTCTACCATTTATCTTTCAGTCAACTCAATTCATTGCCATCGAGTCAGAAGTGTCTCCTCAAGGAAAATCACGAGGGAGAAACTGCCCATCTTTCTCTCCCAGAGTAGCTGGTGGATTTAAACTGATGAGAGGGGACCCCTTCGCTTAACAGCACAACTCCCTATGGACTGCACCAACCGAGCTCCCTAACTCTCAGTAGTTTATAGAAAATATAAAATGTATGTGGGGAAGTAAAGGAGAGGAAAGTTACTTCTTTTCTATACTTAAATAATGTTTAAAATGTAGTCTATGGACTATCTAATTTTCAATATTTAAGATACTAATGAGGTGAATTTTAGCCATTTTCAAAGTAAGAATATTGATATTTAATGTAATGTTTAAAATATTTAGGAAACTTTATGTAATGATTTATGCAGTAGATGATTGCTTCTAGATTTTATGAAATGCTTCAGTCATTTGAGAGAGTGGCTGTAAGAAGACTCAGTCAGAATGCTAGATGTTTGATGAGTGAGTTAATGTCACATACCTAAACCATTCTGACCTCCCACAGCGAATATCTTGTCCTTTACAAATACCAGCCCATGGTTCTTCCTGGCTTCAATCATTGGACACAGTTCTGTCCACCTAAAAAAAGAAAAAAGGAAGTATTTTAGTGTGTTCGCTTACAGGAAGTAAAAAGACTCTCGGATTAATTTACTAGAAAGATTCATTATGCGAATTAAGTGTCATATAGTTACCATTCATATGTGTATACACAACCTTACCGCCATGTGCACACACAAGCACACAGAAAAATGACCAGAAGGCTTAAACCCCCCATAATTATTAAATGGGGTAAACAGAGATTTCATTCCTTTCAACTCTGGATATGAGAGGATATCAGGAGAGAAATCTTAGGAAGAAATTGAAACCCTGTAGTTCATAATAGCTTGTAAAACAGGAACAAGAAGAGAAAGGTACTCAGAGAATATAAAGTGGTTACTCGGCCACGTGTTTTAAATTTATGCTTATATGTATGTTATAGCACAAACTCATCGGTATCTAGCACCCAGCAAACTAGCAGTGTTCATTACTTGTCACGTACCTAGCCTCAAATGTACATCAGGGAATTCTAATAGCAAAAGAACTCCAATTCTTCTCTAGTTTAACTACCGTATTTTCACACAGAACCCCAATGTGTTATATGTTCTTCTGTATAACAACATTTTTTAATGTGTTAGCAACCTCAATGTCAATAATTTTTTCTGTCCAACAGATTTACTGTCAAGTTACTGTCTTGGTTAATGCCTGTTCATGTGGAGGCTGGGTTCTCAACAGAAGCACCTTGCGTTTCTAAAGCAGCCCTTCTGGCAGGATTCCTTCTCTACTCTGTAAATGGTTCTCCAAAGTAGATAGATACTATGTTTTATGCCTTGGAAATAAACTTGCACCTTGAGGGCAAAGGCCCCTCATGTTGGCAAGGCTGTCATACCACAGGAGTGGGCATTCTGCCCTGCCATCTGGCTGGCAGTAGCCTTGCTTCAGCTACTCAGATCTCCTGCCTTGTGGGAGCCACTGCAGAGGGCTGTGTCCATCTCTAAGATGAGGAGGGTCTGACTGGCCACCTAGAGATTCTGAGGCCAGAGCTGTTGTTAGGTACCGTGAAGTTGACTATGACTCAGTGACCCTATGAATAAACTACCTGAACACTGTCTTATCCCGTGCCATCCTCGTCATCTCTGACACAATGAAGCCTACTGCCACAGTCAGTCACTGTTGTCAATTCACTTGGTTGAGGGTCTTCCTCTCTCTGTCACCCCTCTCTAAGAACAACCTTTCGTAGCAACATGCTCAAAGTGTGTGAGACAAAGCTTCATAATCTTTGTCTTCAAGGAGCATTCTGGCTTCTATTCTATAAGACATATTTTGAGACCATTGTTATAAGAGGAAGATCACAGCTGATACAAGATGGAAGAGTGGATACGGATACACACACACACACGTTTCTTTTGTATTGTGCCATAAAGTGATGCACAGATTTCTGAGCTGACAGAGGACAGGATGAGTAAAGGTGCCCTGGGTAGCATAATGCATTATATGGTGCATTGCTTTAAAAAGTTGGTGGTTCAAATTCATTGAGTGCTCTGCAGGAGAAAGATGTCTCCTCTGGTAAAGATTTACAGACTTAGAAACTCAGTGGAAGGTTGCTATGAGCTGGAGCCAAGCTTTGACAGCAGTGAGACTGATTTGGTTTTTAGGTTTAGGATAAAAATAAGGATGTTCTCAGTGTGCCCCAACAAGTACATCTGATGGACTCTGGTCTCAGCAGTATAGCAAAGGTTTCAAAAGATAAGTGTTTTTTTTTTTTTTTAAAATATGCTTTATTTAAAATAATGTGCTTCAGGGGAGCTCTGGTGGCCTAGTGGCAAGGAGCTGCAACTATAATCCCAGAGGCACACGGTTCGAATCCACCAGATGCTCTGCCGGGAAAAGGAGGGACAACCTCCTCCTGTACCAGTCAGATCTGATTTGACGGTACACTCACACACACACACAAAAAAAGAATAAAAAAAAAAAAAATAAAATGTGCTTCGATGAAAGCGGGCTGAGGTTCAACTGACATCAGGGCCAACAAGGATAAGACATTCTAAGCTGGCTGGCTGGAGGCAGTTACAGCAGTTTCAAGGGCCTGGGGCCATTTTAAATTATTTCAGCACTCCCAGTTTTATCTCCTGCTGTGGGTTTAGGGGTATTTCAACTTTATATTCCCAACTTAAAGTAAAGGGGGAAAGGGGTGAAGATCTCCTAAAATCCACTTTGTGCTAAAAGGAGGCCAGTGCAGGAGAGGGGTCTTATGTTGAAGGAGGCTTGGATGGATGGGTGATACTGAAAGCTGATTAAAAGGAATCTTAACAAATTGGTCTGGTTTGTTAAGGCTTCAATTCTTCTAGAAAGATGACAACACAGGGATCCGCAGGCGTGATGGTAGTGGAGGAAGGAGGAAGGAGCCAGGAGGAAGCCGCTGATCCAGCAGAGACTAAAAAAAACCAGCATATGTAGTATGTGACAAGCCAGAACCAAGGTCAAAGGGAGAACAAAGGATTCAAGGAATATCAACATGTCAACAAAGGGAGTGAACAGCCTCAACTACCAAAAAGTGCCCCTCCTTTCCCTCCCCAGAAGACCACCCACCCACCTACCTGGTTATACCACAATGGAAGGTCTCTTTCTAAAGACCCTCACTTAAAAAACCTGCCCTAATCCACTTTGTTGTTGTTGTTGTTATGTGCCATCAAGTCATGCTTGGGACTCATAAGGATCCTATGTACAAGAGCCCTAAACGCCATTCTATCCTGTGCCAACCTCGCCATCTCAAATACACTCATTCCCACCACTCCACTCACAGAATCGATTCATCTCATTGAGGGTCTTCCTCTCTTGCACTGTTCCTCCACTCTCCCTAACATGATGTCCCTCCTTGCAACATGCCCAAAGTATGTCAGACAAAGCTTCAGAATCCTTGACTCCAAGGAGCATTCTGGCTTCACCCTCTCCAGGACAAACCTGTTTGTTCTCCTAGCAGACCATGGTCTATTAACACTCTTCTCTAGCACCACAGCTCAAAGGCATCAATTCTCTTTCTATCATCCCTATTCACTGTTCAACTCTCTGATGCATAGCACGTAATTGCAAAGACTATAGCCTGGATCAGGTGCACCTTAGTCTCCAGCCTGACGTCCTTGCACTTCAGTACTCTTGAGAGGCCCTTCATAACTGACTTTCCCAAAGCATTTCATCTCCTGACTTCCTGGCTGCTGTTACCAAGAGTGTTGACTGTGGAACCAAGTAAACTAAAACTGTTAACTATCTCAATCTCTTCACCATCCATACTGATGCTGCCAATTGGCCCAGTGGTGAGAATCTTTGTTTTCTTGATGTTGAGTTTCAATCCATATAGGAGACTGCAGTCCTTGACCTTCTGCACCAAGCGCTTTAGGTCCTCCTCAGTTTCAGCAAGCAGGGTAGTGTCATCCGCATAACACAGGTTGCTGATGATTCTTCCACCAATCCTGATGCCACATTCCTCCTCGTACAGCCCAGTGCCTCCGATGATCTGTTCTGCATACAGATTGAAAATGTATGGAGACAAAATACATCCCTGACGAACCCCCTTCTTGATTTTGAACCATCCAGTGTCTCCCTGCTCTGTTCTGACAACTGCCTCTTGGTTCAAGTATAGGTTTTGCACAAGCATAATCAAATGTTCTGGGATTCCCATTCTTCTCAGAGTCAGCCATAGCTTGTTGTGATCCACACAATCAAAAACCTGTCCCAATGTGGTGAGCAACAGGATAATATCCATATATGCACCAACAACTAGAGCCAAAGAGGAGGAAATAGAAGATTTCTACCAACTTTGCAGTCAGAAATTGATCAAACATGCAATCAAAATGCATTAATAATAATGGGCGACTAGAACGCAAAAGTTGGGAAACAGGGAAGAAGGATCAGTAGCTGGAAAACACAGGCTTGGTGAGAGAAATGAGGCTGGAGATAGAATGATAGAGTTCTGCACATTCATTGATTTATTCATTGCAAATACCTTTTATAAGAAACATAAACACAGGCTATACACATTGATCTCACCTGATGGCATGCATAGAAATCAAATAGATTACATTTGTGGAAAGACTCAGTGGAAAAGCTCAATATCAGCAGTAAAAACCAGGTCAGGTGCTGATTGTGGGACAGACCACTCATATGCAAGTTCAAGATGAAGTTGAGGAAAATTAAATCAAGTCCACAGGAACCAAGTCTGTCCCACTCAAATTTCAAAAGCATCTCAGGAACAGGTCTGAGGCCTTGAGCACCAAAGAGCACAGACCAAATGAGCTCTGGGAGGATATCAAGAGAATCGTCCTTATGCTGAGTGAGGTATCTCAGTCACAAAGGGACAAATGCTATATGGTGCCACTGTTGTAGAATGAGGCTGGCATCGGGGTGGGGGTAAGGCTGAGAAAAACTGGATGAAATATGTTTATGGCATTGAAGTCTACGGGGGAGAGAATAAAAGTATTATATTTTAGGGCATTATGTTTATCGTAGGAGT